CATTAAATGAGATTCGCAAATACTGTGTTTAGTCAGAAATGACCACCAGATAATAACAATTGTTTTAAACAATAAAAATATCACAAGTTTAAAAATGTTTTTGCAGTAGTAGTGTTGGAAACTTCTTTACCCTCATGATGACATTAAAAAATCACATGATTTGAATGTATAAGGTCTTACATTTTTGCTTAAATATCAGTCTTTTTATTTTGTAGCTGAAACTTCTTTGATACTCTTTTATGAGTCCTCTTTTTGACATTAAAAGACATTTTTGACTTAAGTATATTATGAAACTTAGTTATTGCTTTTAGTCCATTATACAAATCTGCAAGGTGATTAGATTTCTCCTACTGGTGTTTATAGCACCTCTAGGCTTGACTCTGGTCTGAAGCGTGGGCTTGAAAATTGTTGTTTTTAGGCAATAATCGCTCTAAGGAAATCAGTGCTTCCTACAGAGCTTAGCAATATGTTATTCCTGATTTATATTTTAAAATAGCTCCATGGGGCAGCCTGGGTGGCTCAGCGGTTTAGCGCCGCCTTCAGCGGGGGGCGTGATCCTGGAGACCCAGGATCGAGTCCCGTGTCGGGCTCCTTGCGTGGAGCCTGCTTCTCCCTCTGCCTGTTTCTCTGCCTCTCTCTCTTTGTATCTCTCATAAATAAATAAATAAAATCTTAAAAAAAAAATAGCTCCATGATAGATAGATAATCTTTGGCTATGGCAGTAATTCTCTCAAAGAGTGATGTGCCCTAAAGTTAGGGTTTCAGTTTTTCTTTAACTGGGGACAGACATCCAACACTGAATTTTTTGACAATGGGTGCATACATCGTTACTGAAATGTATAAGAATGAACTTTTTTTTTTCCTTACTGTTATTAAATAAGCACCAGGATACTTGTTATGAGAGTACAATATGGCAGATGTGGTTTTGGTGTTCTTATTTCTGATCTTAAAAAAATGTTTCATCCTTTTGTATAATTCCATTTTTAGATTATCCCAAGGAAATGGAGATATGTACCAAGAATTATGTATAGTATATGTCTTGTACAGATAAAGAAAAATGAAAAACAACCTGTATGTTTGGGAGATTATTAAATTTGCAAGCCCATATTAAGAGTAAATTCTTGAATAATATTTAGGGATTGGGAGAATGATTGGTCAAAAATGTCTATCAGGATATCACACATACCACAATATTTGCAGTACTTACCCATGAATGGTGGGATCATGATTGATGTTAAGTATTTGTTGGTATATTTGTTGGTTCATGTTCTTCTGGGTTTTATACATTTTAAATAATGGATATTACTTTTAAAATTTAAAAAGGTATATAAATTTGTATAACTACATTGGGGAAATAAAACATCTCATAAAATGATGCTTTAAGGGAAGGATGTATTTTTGCATTTCTGCAAGTTATTAAAGAAGCATCAGACAAATCTTTGTTATGTGTTTATGTATTGAGCAGGAGTGGGTAAAAGGCAGGCATGTTCTTTTTTTTTTTTAATTTTTTTAATTGGAGTTCAATTTGCCAACATTTAGCATAATACCCAGTGCTCATCCTGCCAAGTGCCACCCTCAGTGCCCATCACCCAGTTACCCCAACCCCCCCATCCACCTCCCTTTCCACTACCCCTTGTTCATTTCCCAGAGTTAGGTGTCTCTCCTGTTTTGTCACCCTCACTGATAATTTCACTCATTTTCTCTCCTTTCCCTTTATTCCCTTTCACTAATTTTTATATTCCCCAAATGAATGAGACCATATAGTGTTTGTCCTTTTCCAGTTGACTTATTTCACTCAGCATAATACCCTCCAGTTCCATCCACGTCAAAGCAAATGGTGGGTATTTGTCGTTTCTAATGGCTGAGTAATATTCCATTGTATACATAAACCACATCTTCTTTAACCATTCATCTTTCGATGGACACTGAGGCTCCTTCCACAGTTTGGCTATTGTGGACATTGCTGCTAGAAACATCGGGGTGCAGGTGTCCCGGTGTTTCACTGCCTCTGTATCTTTGGGGTAAATCCCCAACAGTGCAATTGCTGGGTCGTAGGGCAGGTCTATTTTTAACTCTTTGAGGAACCTCCACACAGTTTTCCAGAGTGGCTGCACCAGTTCACAGTCCCACCAACAGTGTAAGAGGGTTCCCTTTTCTCCGTATCCCCTCCAACATTTGTGGTTTCCTGCCTTGTTAATTTTCCCCATTCTCACTGGTGTGAGGTGGTATCTCATTGTACTTCTGTGTTTCCCTGATGGCAAGTGATGCGGAGCATTTTCTCATGTGCATGTTGGCCATGTGTATGTCTTCCTCAGTGAGATTTCTGTTCATGTCTTTTGCCCATTTCATGATTGGATTGTTTGTTTCTTTGGTGTTGAGTTTAATAAGTTCTTTATAGATTTTGGAAACTAGCCCTTTATCTGATATGTTATTTGCAAATATCTTCTCCCATTCTGTAGGTTGTCTTTGAGTTTTGTTGACTGTATCCTTTGCTGTGCAAAAGCTTCTTATCTTGATGAAGTCCCAATAGTTCATTTTTGCTTTTGTTTCTTTTGCTTTCGTGGATGTATCTTGCAAGAAGTTACTGTAGCCAAGTTCAGAAAGGGTGTTGCCTGGGTTTTCCTCTAGGATTTTGATGGAATCTTGTCTCACATTTAGATCTTTCATCCATTTTGAGTTTATCTTTGCGTATGATGTAAGAGAATGGTCTAGTTTCATTCTTAGGCAAGCATGTTCTTGTTCTTGAATTTATATTCTCTTTGTGGAATAATAAGGCTTCATAATAGTCACTACTGTAGAGTTTGTCAGATTATACGGATTGGAGTAGTCTTAATTTTGGGAAAGTTTGAGTAAAGTTTTAATATAGATAGACCAAGGCTGAAGACATCAGAATGCACCAGGCTATAAATAAATAACCAAGCCTGAGAGAAGGCAGTGAAAGAATGGAGTGAGGGGCAGTGGAGGTGGAGGTAGAGATTGTAGTTGAGGTTGGAAATAAAGAGGATGTATTATATAGAGTAGTTATTTTATTTTATTTTTTAAAAGATTTTATTTATTCATGAGACAGAGAGGCAGAGACACAGGAGGAGGGAGAAGCATGCTTCCTGTAGGGAGCCCGATGGAGGACTCCTTCCCAGGACCCTGGGATCATCCCGTGAACCAAAGGCAGATGCTCAACCACTGAGCTGCACCCAGGACCCCTTCAGTAGTTATTTGAAACTGAAGCAAATCTACTGAGTCCCTGTCACCATTAAAAAAAAATATGTGTATGGTAAGGATAAGTATTGTTGGGTGGAAGTTTTATTAGCACTTTGAGTGTGTGTGTATATATACACGTATGAGGGGGGAAAGGAGAACTGGGTCAGAATGTAAAAGTATTTACTGTGTGTTGAAGTGAAGTTTGAGGACAATGCTGCAGAGCCTGGCAGGTCACTTTCAAGTACTGATGCCAAATTGACTGTTTTTGTTTAAAACAGAATCTCCTGGTAATCAGTCATTTTGGCTTTTGTATGTTTGAAACATCTTTATTTTGATGGATATTTTTTGGGTATAGAATTCTAAGCTGACAGGGTTTTTTTCAGTACTTTAAAGATGTTGCTGTATTGTGTTCTGTACAATACATTGTGCATTGTTTGCAATGAGGAATCTGGTGCCATCCTTATCTTTGTTCCTTATCTTTGGCTGCTTTTAAGATTTTATCTTTGGTTTTGAGCAGTTTGATTATGATGTTCCATGAGTTTTTTTCATGTTGCTTGTGTTTAGGGTTTGTTGAGCTTTCCTTTTAAGGGCATAACACAGAAGTCTCATGTATTTCTTCTGTTCACAACTTCCAGAGAAGTTGCAGATAGTCTTTATTCAGGACATCCTGTGCATAGCTAAGTATTTTGTTGTTGTGAAAGAAGGGGATAATAAAAACTTGGGGGCAACTAGCAATATTATCTTTATCATGCATAATATGTTTCAAGTGGATGAAAGAAAAATCTAAAAATTAAAGGTAAGTATTGGAGGTATACGTATATTTATGACCTATAGGTTTCAAAAGCAGAAGCAATAAAGGAGAATACCAATGGCTTTTTAGTACATAGAAATTAAAATGGCTGTATGACAAAATATATAAATATAGGTGACAACCAGTTAATTATAAATATACTAATGAAAAAGATTAATATTCAGGATATATAAACAGCTATTTTGAAGTGGTAAAAGACAAATACCCTAGAATGAACGGAGCACATGAACAGATAATCCACAATAGAAATCCATATGGTTCATAAACATTAAAATATATCTTCATCTCATAACCTGAGAAATGCAAATTAAAAATGCATCTTTTATTTGTCTGTCATTATAGGTAACCAGTGTTCACTAGGGTACGGGGAAATGGGTGCTGTCGCACATTGTTAGTGGGAGTATAATGTAATATTACCTTTTTGGAGGTCAGTTTGTCAATATCGAAATCAATGATGCAATACCCTCTGATCCCATAGTTTCACGTATAGGAATCTTATAAAAATTACCAAGAGATGGGCTAAGTGACATCTGTATAAGCATATTTATTTTATATCATTGTGTTAAGATGTAAATTATATAAGGGAGTATTTTTAAAAATTATGATCTGTCCATACTATGTAATACTGTGTAATTCATGAAGAGGAATCAAGTGGTTCTAGTTAGAACAATCTTTAGGATGTTCAGTTAAAAAAAGTCACAGACCAGGATATATAGAAAGAATCCACTTATGTAAAAAAGAAAACCTAAAGGGGTGTGTGTGTGTGTGTGTGTGTGTGTGTGTGTGTGTGTGAAAACGCCTGGACAGAGAGCATTCTGTTAATAGTGCTTATTACATTTGGGGAGTGTTGTTGAGGAGGTAGTGGTTTACCCCATGTTCTTCATTATGGTTTGAACTAATTTTACAGTGAAACTAAACTTAAATAAAAATGAGTAAATTACCACTGCAGTAAAAATGAACTTAATTTTTTGGCTTTCACATGTATTTTTAGGATTGGTCCAAAGGAAGATTTTTTCCATTGTTTGAAATGTAACTTATGCCTAGCTATGAATCTCCAAGGAAAGCACAAGGTATATAATTAAGTTTGCATAACTTAAAAAGTATTATATTGTGTCTGAAAACCAGCTAAATCCTAAAATGTTTGGATTTTTCAGATATTTTGCTATTTTTCAGATATTACCAAGTACAACTATGTTGTTTTTTTATTTTTAAGCATTAAGTAGGTGTTTTAAGGCATATGCCTCAGAATATCTGATCTACAATTCTTTTTCATCTGTGTGGTATGTAAGAAAACTTTTTTTAAATATATATTTTTTAATTTTTATTTATTTATGATAGTCACAGAGAGAGAGAGAGAGAGAGAGGCAGAGACACAGGCAGAGGGAGAAGCAGGCTCCATGCACTGGGAGCCCGACGTGGGATTCGATCCTGGGTCTCCAGGATCACGCCCTGGGCCAAAGGCAGGTGCCAAACCGCTGCGCCACCCAGGGATCCCAGAAAACTTTTTTTAAAAAAGATTTATTTTAGAGTACACAAGCAGGGGGAGAGGGAGTGGGAGTGGGAGAGGGAGTAATCTCAAGTAGACTCTGTGCTGAGCACGGGACTCCATATGGGGCTCGATCCCGAGACCCTGAGATCATGACCTGAGTCAAAAGCAAGAGTTGGCCGCTTAACCACCTGAGCCACCTGGGCACTGCATAGTATATAAGAATATTATATCAGTTATTTGCATAATGTTGACAGCTTCTAAGTTTATGGATTCATCTCATTGGTACTGGTTTTAAGAATAACAAAAAAATGCATAGTAAAGAAGGAATAGCAATGTAACAGCATTTCGAGAAAAATCAGAAAATAGTTTTATATTTACTTTCATAGTTAGAAGTATTTTTAAGGGGGATCCCTGGGTGGCTCAGCAGTTTAGTGCTGCCTTCAGCTCAGGGCGTGATCCTGAGGTCCCGGGATCCAGTCCCACATCGGGCTCCCTGCATGGAGCCTGCTTCACCCTCTGCCTGTGTCTCTGCCTCTCTCTCTCTCTCTGTGTCTCTCGTGAATGAATAAATAAAATCTTAAAAAATATATTTTTAATTTTGGATATAGTAATTATATCATATACCAGGCTCTTTAAGATTATTTTTCATTATTCAGAAAATATCTAATAAACATCAGAGAATGGGGAGGCTAATCAGGATTTTTTTCGTTAAGTTTTTCATTTTAGTTCTGGTATAGGTAACATTAATGAGGATTTTTTAAATAGATGCTGGATAAAAACTGGCCTAAAATAGGTCAAGTGTTAAGAGAAATTGAGATGAATAATGAGCATTTGGGATACAATGACAAGTTAGAAGGGAAAAAGGATGGGGCTGAGTAGAGATGACTCCTGAGTCTTTTAGCCCTTGCTATTATCCTTGATTAGTAGACCATGAATTTGCTGGAATTAAAAGATTGAGTTTGGTTTTATAGACTTCAGTTGGGGCATGATAGCTGTGTGGTCTTTCAAAAACTACACAGTTTCTCTTGTGGTATCTTTGTTTCTCAGTTATTTTTCATTGTCTATATTTCAGTAAATGGTCCTATCATATAGTTAAGTGCTCACTTAAAAAACGTGGGCATCATCCATGGCTTGATGCTTCCCCATACCTTCCTGCATTTACTCACCCTATCTTGTCAAGTTAGGAACTCTGGCACTGGAGGCAGCCTGTTGGAACTCAAATACTGTTCACCCTCTTATTAGCATGTGACTTTGGAAGTTATTGAGCTTCTCTAGGCCTCAGATACCTCATCTGTAAAATGGAGTAATAGTTGTACCTATTTCATTTAGAGTTGTGGGACTTGGTTGAGCTAATGTATAGCATGTAGTAAATTTCAGTAATATGAATCGTCAATATCATTAAGTAGTTTTGGAACAAAATGCATATGAAATAGATTCCAAATGTTATTATCTCTGAATCTTTGTAAATCTTAATTCTCTGATTTTCCTCATTTGTAAAATGAAGATAATTTGAACAATTAAGATGTATTAATTCATTGTTTCAGGTAATGTGCAAAGCCTGAAATAGTTGTGTGAGTTAACTGTTCAGTTCTTGTCTCACAGACATGTATTAATGTTAATTATTATCTTAAGTAGGTTAGGATCATTAGCATCATTGCTTTATCATTAGTTTTTATTACTATGTATATATCTGTCATTTCCATCTAGTTAAGTTTTAGTAATTTGAGTTTCTCCTTTAAACAGTGTATTGAAAATGTTTCCCGGCAGAATTGTCCAATATGTTTGGAGGTAATCTTAAACTATTATCTGCTTTGGAAATATTCCTTCTTGAACTTAAAGTACTTGGTTGTTTATATACTCTTTATGCAAGCAGTAACATTTATTTCCTTTATAGGACATTCATACATCCCGTGTTGTTGCTCATGTCTTGCCATGTGGACATCTTTTACATAGGTAATTTTTTTTTTCCTCAAAAATGTTTGAAAGTAGTGGAGATGGTTTTTGCCTTACTAAAATAGTGTTATATATTTTTTTCAGAACATGCTATGAAGAAATGTTGAAAGAGTAAGTGTTTGATGGGATTTTTAAAGGTTAAAATTGTAAGATGTCTGATTTATTTATTTAGTTACTTTGTGCAGGGATATGGAAGTGGGCAAACATTGCTGTGTTACTTACACTTTACTGGGCATGGCAGGTTATCTTGAGATGGGTAGAGTAAATGAATAGTGTTAAATTGGGCAAAGCATCTTGTGGTTGTAGGAACTGCATCTTTGCCCCTGTGCTTGTATTATGCCGTATCTCATCCCACAGTTCACAAGAGCTACCTCTTATTTTTCTGGCTGTGCTTACCAGGGGGCACAGGCTCTGCTAAAGGCAATCCATACCATTGTAAAAATACTGAGGCTTGTCACTCAAAGATCTATTAAGTCATTATATTACATTATATTAGCGCATGTTAATCATCTGCAAAGAGAGCTGGTAACAAGGTTATCTAAAGCAGAGACTTTATTGTGGGTGAAGGATGTTAAAATGAAATGAGCATAGTCAGGAGAGAAGAGACTGTGAAAATGTATTTTGGTCCTGTGCATTCGTAAGCAGAAATTTTAATTTAAGAGCCAGGTGGAAGGGAACTTCTTCAGAATTTTTAGGAAGAAAGTAATACAATCTGAATTGCCTGAGTATATTAAGAAATTGAGGCTATTTAGCTAAAAAAAAAAAATGAAGCAGCTGAATTAGTTTTTAAAATATATTAAATAATGGGGGTGCCTGGCTCACTCATTTGGAAGATGTGACTCGATCTTGGAGACGTGAGTTCAAGCCAGATGTTAGGTGTAGGGATTACTTAAATAAAAAACTTAATATAAAAAAGTATTAAATATATTCTGTAAAGAATATGAACTAATTCCTCCCCACTTTAGAGAACTGAGGAAAAAGTAGATCTAAAAAAATACCATAGGTTACAGGATTTAATTAACCAAGTTATAAGTTCCCAGGCCTGTAACAGGTCATCTTGAAACACAGAATAATGCTCTGTTTTGGATGGTTTATGTACCAGTTAGCATGCATCTTGTATACTGGAGTTGATAGACTCCTTGTTTAAAGTTTGGACAATAACCTTTCTGTCTCTTCTAGAGGCTACAGATGTCCCTTGTGTATGCATTCTGCTTTAGATATGACTAGATACTGGAGACAGCTGGATGATGAGGTAGCACAGACTCCTATGCCATCAGAATACCAGAACATGACTGTGGATGTGAGTATAATCAGTGCTTAAAACTTTAGGTTCCTGTTTGATGTGCTGGTTTTCTTTTGCCTTTTTGCTCGAATCTGTTTAAAAAATACTGTTTTGGCATTGACACCAATGTGATTATTGTATTGTATTTGAAAGGACCAAATACAGATTTTAGTTACTTCAAATTCAACAAACCAGACCAAAAGAGAGAGAGAGGCAGAGACACAGGCAGAGGGAGAAGCATGCTTCCTGCAGGGAGCCTGATGTGGGACTTGATCCCTGGACCCAGGATCACGCCCTGAGCCGAAGGCAGGCACTCAACACCAAGCCACCCAGGTGTCCCCAGACTAAAAAAATCTTAAGAATACCTTTATACAATTCTTGCCAACACTAGATGGCAGGCAAAAACTTTATTCTGAATTATTTACATGCTATTTGTCAGAGCCAGTTAGTTAATGTAACTGGAGATGAATTACTGGTCTGCTGTTTTAGTTTAATGATATTTTATTTGTAATTTTTTAAATTTTATTTCAGGCATACATATCTGTTGATTTTTGAAGAAGATTATTTTGTTTTTTAATGTTCATTACCCTTTTTATTCATGTGGATAATTGAATTGCTAGTAAGGTCAATGAAGTATCACTTTTAGAATACAAATAACAGTTTTATTGAGATATAATTTATATGCCATATAACTTGTCCATTTGAAGTGTACAGTTTAGTGCTTTATCATACATTCTTGAAATTGTCAAACATCATCACCATCAATTTTAGAATATTTTTGTCACCCCCAAAAGAAATCCCATACCTATTAGCAGTCATTTCCCAATCCCCCTAGCTCTAGGCAATTAGTAGTCTTTTGACATTCAGATTGTATTCTTAATTATTTTCCAGATTATAATTTTGAGCAAATTTGGAAGTTTTCTATTTATTGTGGTATGACTATTGTAAAGGTAATGCTTTTCTCACATAGTAATGTATTGATCTATTTTCAGGTTAACCATTTTTATTTTTCAGGATCTCAGTACTAGAAGAGATTAAGTCTCAAATGACATCTTATTGTCATTGTAGGGATAAGCCAAAGCTGCTTTTTATTAGATTAAATTAGGAACTGCTTTTTTGGACTTTTTTTTTAATGTCAAGGAAAAAGAAATCATAGGTTATTTTGAATTTTAAGTATAGATGTCAATCAGATTATGCCTATATAAGTAGATTTTATGCTCCACACTATTTATAGTACTTAGAAACAGTTTTAAAATAAGACTTCTTAACTCACTTTCATCTTCTAAATTCAAAGCTACTTTTAGAATTTTCAGAAAACAAAAGGCATTTCTGTTTTGGGAAATGTTTAGACTTAGCTATATGTGTTTCAGTTCTTCAGTATGATTTTTGAAGAATTGTTTTGAGCAGACAGTGCTATTTTCTATCTATAAGGTTTAATATACTTAATTTGAATTAATCTCTTCACTTTTCAGATTCTCTGCAATGATTGTAATGGGAGATCTACAGTCCAGTTCCATATATTAGGCATGAAATGTAATATTTGTGAATCCTACAATACTGCTCAAGCTAATAGAATTTCACTAGATCAGCAATGACCAGCGTATACTGCACTGGAAAACTCAGCATTTTCTGATCTAGAAAAAGGCTGTCTTTAGTATTCAGTTGTTATAATGTGTCAGAATCTATGCATTAGAGTTGATGTGTTTTGTACTAGTATCACAGCATAAAATCATATTACACGTACTTAAGGATTCAGGGTCTCGTTATAGAATATCATAGCTTTATGTTGGATGAAAGCCACTGTGCTTGTTTATTGATTGGAAATTCTCTTAGTGTCAGTTGTTTGGAAGCCAATGATGTTTGCCACTGAAATTCACATCCATAGAAGTATATTCTGCTTCCATGGAACTTTGCTTTAAGTGACACTATGCACAAAGAGTTCATTTCTAGTTCTTGATAGAACTGCACTTGTTTCTCAGTATTATTCTTGACTTTTTAAGGGCTGTGCTATAATAAGAATATGTTCTTACTGTTGAAATCTTATGATATATACCTTAGAATTTTCTAAGACAGCCCTTTGGATCCTGTAAATGTGAATTTTGATGTAATAACTGCTAATAAAATTATATTGAAACTTTTATTGAAAGTTCTTTCCAAGGTTATTTATTTTTGGTTCAATTTGGGCAATATAGTCATATGTATTTCTTTATAAATACAAATATACATAATATATATGTGTGTATATATATATATATTTCTATAGAAAACTTTTTTTCTTTTGAAGTTTTATTCCATTACACTAGTTGGGAAAATAGAAAATAATAGAACTCTTCCAAGCCTTAAGAAAAACAATCAACATTGAAAATAATTTTGGGACACCTGGGTGGCTCAGCGGTTGGACACCTGCTTTCGGCTCAGGTCATGGTCCTGGGATCTGGGATTGAGTCCCACATCAGACTACCTGCGAGGACCCTGCCTCTTGCTCTACCTATGTCTCTGCCTCTCTCTCTCAGTCTGTCTCATGAATAAATAAATCTTTAAAAAATGTTTTTTTTGATTTGGTTTCACAAAGTTATTTCTTCAAGGAGTTTTTAATTTATTCTGTTGGCAAGTATTTAATGAGCAACTGCTATTTGCTGGGTAAGGTTCTTAGATGTCTATGGAGACAACAGTGAACAATATAGACAAAAGTCCCTGCCTTCATGGTGGTGCCTCATCCCTCATATGCCTCATGACTAGCCTTTTCCCTACTTTCTTTAAGCATGAAGTGGTGGTTTTTGTGGTAAATGGGTGGATTCCTTCTTCCTAAAGTGCTTGAAAGTAGGATGGGTGAGTAGAAGGCATGGAGTATTCCTGACAAGATCTCTGATTTCATAATACTTTTTTGGGCTCATGTAATGGAATTAAAGATACCTCTTTAATTCAGGAACAAAATACACAAAAATGCTTTGATGATTATACAATTTTTTTTTTAAAGATTTTATTTATTCATGAGAGACACAGGCAGAGGGAGAAGTAGGCTCCATACAGGGATCCCAATGTGGGACTTGATCCCAGAACCCCGGGGTCACGCCCTGGGCTGAAGGCAGATGCTCAACCGCTGAGCCACCTGGGTGCCCCCCCGCCCCCCCCCCCCCACCGAATTTATTTCTAAGTGGACTTGTTTCTTACTGCCATTTTCATGTGGATTTTTTCCCTTGTGTTTGTCCAGTTCTTTGGATTATATGCCAATTTTGGGCAGGTCTGCTTTTTTTGTTTGTTCAACGTAATCCTTTTCATTCCCATAAAGTCTTACACCCTGTGTGGTTATCTTACATTTGATTTCACTTTGTCTCCCCTTATGTATCCATTCTGCCAGATTACTTTTCCTAAACTTAGACCCATTGCAGTTTTGGTCAAAATAACATTACAAATTTTCTAATGTTCATTTGATTAATCCCAGATTTCTTGCTTTGAAGTCTTTATGAAATTGCTCTAATTTTATCTTTTCAGTTTTAGTTTTCATTATTTACATACATTTTTAAAACATAGCTTCTGAATTTTTGTTCCTTTGAGGATATGGTTCCTTGATGGAACAGTCATTCTTTTTTTTTTTTTTTTTGGAACAGTCATTCTTAGAGAAATGTAGTTGTCAAAGACCTGCTTGCTTCGTAGGCCAGCTCAAAGTTTACCTTTGCCATGAATGCTGATTAATATCCAAAATTCTTTTATGATCTCTCCCTCTTCTAAATGATAAGCACTTTGTACCAGTTTTAAAGTAGCATTTTCTTTATTATCGTTCAGTTTTTGCTTTTCCCCTCAATGCAACATTGTTTATGAAACAGTACGTAAAGCTGGGTCTGGGTGGGAGTACAATTAAAGCTACTGAAAGTTGGCTTGTGCAAGACAAAACAGGAAGCAGCTGATCAGGTCAGGGTGAGAGAGTCTTACATTCTGAGGACAGTGATGGATTTTTTTCATTGCATATCTTGCTCATAAGAATTTGTTGAGTTTCTAGTGAGGTTAAGATATTCTTAAATTTTCATCATACATAAAGGATCTGATAAAAGGGTGTGTATGCATATATACAAAAATTGGTTGAAGTGACTTCCCAACCTCCCCCAATCAAGTGTTTAACACTAGAATATATGGGTCGAAAAGTGATGATATCACACCTCTCTCAAACTAGAAGACAGAAATCAAGTCATGCTGGAATCTGGTTGTTAGGCCCATCTATTTGTTTATCGCATTTAACAAATGTTTATTTTGTACTAGTTCTGTGCCACAGTATGTAGAGCTGGATTATGCAAAAGAATGAGAAAGACAGCAAATGACCTCAGATTGTTCCTGACCTGCAAGAGGTGGATGTGTGACTGACAAAAGTGCTGTGGGAGTCTTTGGCTGAATTCTAACCTCTGTGTTAAGTGGCTCAATAAGGAGCCCTGAGAAATAGCCTTTTCAGCACAACTTTTTGTCTTGGTTCTGCCACACACAGACCACAAAAATATGGTCTTTGAGAGGTGTGTAAATCTGTGACTTGTATACCCTCTACTTTAGGCATTTCAACTTAGATTCCTATGGATGTCAACTAACAAAGGCTCACTCTGTGATATGTGATACACTGGGTTCCTGATGGAATACCTGCCGTTCCTCAGTTCATTAAGGATTGCAGTTGCCCAGATTATGTTGCTTAGGCATGCCAAGCATCTACTTTTGTAAACCTCTGATCAAAATCAAAGCTTCTGGCTGGTTGCACTTTTTTTTTCCCCTAGACTCAAACAACATATATTCAAATTGAAGTCAGAACTTTTCTTAATCACCAACCTGCTTCCAACTTCTGTCCTGTTTTCATTCTGTCCTTTTCCTCGTCTCACGTACATGTGTTCTGTTTTTCTGGAGTCAGAAATCAGAATGAGCTAAGTATGATAAACTGCTCTTTAGCCCATCTAGAGGCTCTTGGAACTGCAGCCATTGCCAGTAAAGTGGATTTACTCTGAGGGGGGGGCTTGACCATTGGCTCCTCATCAAGTGTGTGGGACCCTGCGGTACTTAGCCTGCCTGCTGGAGTGTGGAGTACCCTGAGAGATAGGGATGGTTCTGGATCTTCTCCCAGGGCCTGGTCACAACATCCATCGAGAGATTTTTAGAAACCCAGCCCTGAATGCCCTGGACCACCCTCTTTTCCCCACCTCCCACTTGGCATCACAACAACATTTGCTTGAAATCTCTGGTTGGCATTTGTTCCTGTCAGCCTTGCTTATTAGATTATTTACATGTTAATGTCCCTTGTTGAATTTTAGTTTCCTTTAGAGCAATTCGGACAGTGTCTGACTTTGAACTTAATAAGATCTGTGCTTTCTCTTAAAGTTTAAAAGGGTTATATTCCTCTGGAGTTCTGAATCAAGTCTTAAATCAATTGAGAAGTAAAGATGGGAGTCAAATATTGCTGCTAAAGCTGGAAAGGGGATTGTGGCTTGGAGCCAGGCCAAATTGAGTTTGCTCTTCCTTGTTCTCAATTGAAATTACCATAAAGTCACAGGCTACAGGTATCCTTTTACAGGGAGACTCTGTCCTAGAGAGAGGAGTAGTGAGTTCTAAATATTGCAGCTGCCTGGGGCAAGGCTAGCGCCCTAGAAAGGGCTTAGACCACACAGGTGCAATGGCTTTTTCTCAAATCTCACCGTTAGATAACTCTCCTTTGATGGGTAAGGGTTAATAGGGAAGCCGTGGAGGGAGGGATAGAGGCTTTCTTCCTAGTACTTCCAAAGAGGGCAGTATCCTTTAGTTAGCTGAGGCAAGAATATAGAGAAATCCTCTGTCAAAGACCCTGAGGCAGCCCTAGTTCCTGGCATTCTTTGGATGGAAGATAATCTGAATCTGGTTTACCCCGGGGGCTGAATGTAATTTATAGAGGATGAGATAAATAGCTTCTTTCTGGAACAGACTCTAAAATTGGCCTGACCTTCAGGGATGGTATGAGCTGTGGCACCTTCCACTCTGTCATTTTGAGAGGGAAGCAGTGCTGGCAGTGCTGGCTTCCTCAGAGTTACTCAATGTTATGAATTGTTTATCACATGAACTGTTTGATATAATAGTTATAGCTTGGACTTTGGAAGCAGAGATAAAAGTTATAATTGCTTCAATCTAACATATACTGGCATGTGAACTTGGGTCAGTTCTTAACTACACAGGCATATTACTCTGTAAAATAAGGAGAGTAGTAAAAATTGCATAGGATTTGTGTTGTGAGGTTTAAATTCGATAAAGCACTAAATAGTGCCTGGTGCACACTGCACTCTAAGTAGATATTAACCTCAGAATCTTCCTGTTTGCAGCATTTAGGTAATCTACCGCGTTATCCCAGCGAATTATAGCAGTGTCCCCAAGTTTCCAAGACTGGAATAGGGTCCAGGCTCTACCATTATCACCTAGGTGTGGCCTGGAGGGTGCTTGGGAGTCTGCCGAGGGACACATGCCCTCAAGTAGATTAGGCCTTGCACCTTGCTCTGCCTCGAGGAGCCTCATAGATGATGAGGTTCTTCTAACATCACACCAGGAAATTAGTCTCATTTTATTCAGCCTGCAGCCCAGACCTCTTCAACTCCCTGGGCATATTTTTCATCCTGGCCAGATCTGTTTGACTCATTTTTTCATGAAGGATGATAGGAACCTATTGTTCTGTCCTTTATGAAGAAAGGCTTTTTCTCCCCTGCCTCCTTACAGGTTTCACTTGGCAATGAACCAGTCTTTGGATCTGAGTGACTATATGCTCAGCTGACTGGTTGGTTGGTGGATGAATTAGTCCAGTTGTGGAAGATTTGAGCTTGTTGTAGGAGGAATCCATTCTCTTTATAAAAGCAGCTGACAAATTTTTGTAAGGTTGTGATGAAGGACATTATGTTAGGGGTCATGGTAATATATTCTGATTTCTCAAAAGAACAAATTTGTTCCTAAATTTAGAAGGGAAAAGAATCTTAAAACTTTAGAATGGCTTAATTGTGAAGGGGAGACTTGGATTACTTCCTAATTTCTCTGCTTAGTATGGGGCAAGTAATTTTCTTGGCAATCAGTTTTCTTTAAGGTAAGAGCAATAATACCTAAAAATTCTTGATACATTTAAATAATTCCCTCTCCATTAATAGTCATAATTGTTTATTAAGC